TTATGATGTACTGTTTGGAACCTTTGGTGTAGTAATGAATATTACTGGAGTTTTTTCCCAACACCAAATCATTATTTTTACACCTCGACACGTGTTTCGATCACCAAGTGATCATCTTCAAGAGGAAGATAATATCTTCATCTTCAAGAGGAAGATAATATCTTCATTTTCAAGGGGAAGATATTATCAAGGGTTAGCCTTGCAAGTATTTCCAGTTCAATTCCTCTTGAAGATGATCACTTGGTGATGGAAACACGTGTCGAAGTGTAAAAATAACGATTTGGTGTTGGGAAAAAACTCCAGTAATATTTATTTATATGACATTTGAGTACTTTCACTTACCCCTGCTTTCCTTTTTCCGCTTCACTGGTTTAGTGGGAGATGACCGTTTAGCAGGAGTTAACCATTTTTCGTTTGATTATGGGTTTCCATATGTTGTGTATCTCTACGCTAGCTTGGCTGAATATATTGTTGGATAGCATGTATGCGGCTTCTTTGAAGTTTCTCCAAAACCAATGTTCCTCTTTGTGTATGATCTCTGCTTGGGACCATTAGAAGTTATGTTGATGAGTCCAAACATGCTCTGCTATTTCTGATTTGCTGGTTTCCCCTCACTGTGTGTGTTTCTTGTGCTCGACAATGCGAACATACAATAGCCTCTTAGTTTCACCGATATAGGATTTTCTGCACTCATAGGGTATCTTGGAATCACAGTTCGCGTTTGGTGGCCTGGTCGTCTAAGAATTGAAATTCGTTGCGGGCTTCCTTCTCCAATGTGAAAGTGATGGAAGGTCCTACGCTATTGTTGTGTTTCAGGAAATCGTCTAGTTCACTATTTCCTTGGTTCCGTATTATGAAGGTGTCATCAACGTATCTCAACCAGACACGAGGTTTCTTGTGGGCTTCTTCAATGGCTAGAGTTTCAAACCACCCCATATATATGTTGGCTATGACTGGTGAAAGTGGCGATCCCATTGGCAGTCCCTCATCTTGTGTAAAGAACTCGTCCTTTAATTGGAAATAACAGTTTCGTACACAGCATCGTAGCAAATCCATAATTACTTCTATAAGTAAATTCGTTCTGTCTTTCAGGTCCCCGTCTTCGGATAGCTTCCTCTGTATGATTTGGAGTGCTTCTTCTACCGGAACGTTGGTAGAAACCTAAAATGAGATTGAAAATTTGCACATCATTTTCATATTTTCAATTTTTAACGCACACTGCCACTGCGATCTTTGGCCCCGCCACTGAGAAACGAATGAAACCAGCCCAGCGTTGCCAAGTGGGGAACAAGCGAATGTGGGCATTCAATAAAAAATGCTGAACCTTATTCTTGTCGTACTTATTTCAGAGTGCTTACTTCCGCTACCTGCCAGCAGGGACGTACGTCATTGATTAATTTGGGCTAGAGAGAGTAAAGCAAGAAGAGAAATGAAAATATCATTGACAGATAATAATTTGAGTCACGTGCTCCCACATCCTCTTAATAAAAAATATTCTTGGAAAAAAGTCCAAAGCTTAGTTGACGCTTCTTCTGGTCAGTCAGGAAAAATATAACATAAATTCTGCTCATAAGGAAACAATCTTTCAACTTTTACAGAACATATAATTCAAATTGAAGAGACGCAATTCCTCACAAACATTCGAGATAGATTGTTCAGTTTTGATTAATCAGAAAAAATACTCACGTCAACCCCATGCTCGTTATAAAAATCTGCAGTTCCTAAACTGGCTTACAGCTTATAGCCCCTCTTCTGCAGTGACCTCATAGTAGGCAACAACTCCATTTTGTGCTAAAAAATAAATAGTTTACTTTAGGCATAGCCTTCGGATGGAAAAAAAATCACCTTAAAACTTCCTATAGAGAGCAAGATAGATTTTTGAGGTCGTTATCTTTGGCTATGAGCTGCACGTTGAAAGGACCAGTAACCTCTAATGAAGCAGCTATGGACCTGCCAAACAAGGTCTCAGTGTTGATATCCTGAGGAGGTGTTACGAGGGTAGCATCTCCAGAATGTACTCCAGCATTCTCAGGATGATACCTTCGTAAATTTCTGCATCAACATCTATTTCTTTGCTCTCCAGCAAGAACTTTGATACCACTACAGGATGTTCTTTACTGACGTCACTACATTCAGATAAGTTTTCAAATCCTGATCTGAGTGAGCTACATTCATTGCTGCACCACTGAGTACATACGAAGGCCTGACAAGACAAGGATACTACTTCGTTAAAAAAAATTGCCGTCGATTGTAACTTAGTTAACTCTTTCCATCTCGGTTGCATTATTCCAATTCTATCGAGCATTCGTGAGGACTTGAACCTGTTTCCAGCACCGACAATACTCTCTGGAGAGGGGCCCGAAATCCTCGCCTGCTGTCTATGCAAGTCTATGGCCACCCATTGACAAAATTATTCCACATGGGTTTTCTATGTTGTATATGTCCATAACGACTTCGAAAAGATATTACGTCAAAGTATAACCTGTTAGACATGTCATAATCTGTACTAACAGTCTCAGGGTACGATTAAGACGTCTCAGCTCTCTCAGACACCTGACAGCACACCAGTCGAATTCAACAGAGCTCCCGATTCGATAAACACCAGAATCGATCACCATCATGTGTTCTTCATTGAAATCTAAGTCATGAGAAGATGCATTATATGTTAGGTAGAAGTAATTAGTCGTGGCAGGCCACTCTGCTGCTACAGTGTCGATTTGTTTCACAAAAGGTTTTATATTGAGCTCTTCTCTAGTACAGCAAGTTCTGTACTTTTAACGGCAGAAGCAATCTGTTTGTCTGAAAGTCTAATTTGTTTAACTTTCAGCAAAAGACCGTGCTTCAAACCATTTTGGTCAATCGTTTCAAGCAGATTATTATACTCTACGATATTTTTCATTTTATGAAGGAACCATTTATCGTCGATGATTGCCTGAATAGATGTTCCCAAAATTTGGCTATTATACTTTTTGAAGAGCCCTAACCTAACCAATCCTGTTTGTCCACCGAAAGTTAGGGGTATTTCCCCCGGTCTTTCTGAAGGAATTACTTGCTCTTCATATTCCGGAACTAGTGGCAGGAAGTAAATTTTATCCGCTAGCTCTATTGATGTTTGAACTGTGGCTTATTGGGACTGATCAGTGCTGTTTGGATGTTTTCTTCCCTGAGAGCGTTTATTGCTTGGGAACTTGAGTTAAAAAAAATGTCCAAAATATGTTTTTTCCATTAACCAGCTATCGCACCCCTACGAACAACAACCCTCACAAGTTGAAACTTGTACGTGTAACGTGTGATTCCTGACACGGGTTGGACGATAGCAAGTGAAAATCGAGCGTTCAGGATGCGGCTTGAATCATCGACTCACACATCGGCCGATGTACTGAGTGAACAAAGCACCCACCCACGTCGAACCGCCCGGCTACCGACCATTGTAATCGAACTCTCCTGCTTGCCCAATAGACAATCCTCCTGAACCAATGATTAGCACTTTTTTCGATATATGTGTGAGTGCAGGCTGTGGTTTGCTGTATTTTAACGTATTTGCCAATAATTGCCTGACATTGCTGTGCTGATCTGCATAATTCTTCACAACTTCCAAAAATACATCAAAGAACACTTTCGAGTGTTGCTGCCAGCTGTTTGTTCAGGGTGAATTCGTTCGCTGAAATAAGGAAGCTGACTATGGACTATATCTTCGTTTGTTGCATCGTTGGCATTTGAAAAAAGAGGCTCCAAATCATGAGGCAACCTTTTGACATCAATAGCAAAACCTTGATTTTGAGAAGTAATGTAACACCTTCCTGTATCATGATGAATACCTGGTTGGTTGTGACCTCGAATACCTGGTTGGTTGTGACCTCGATTACCATATCTGAAAGATATAAACAATGTGGATGTAATTGTTCAGTGACTATTAAGTATATGACCTACTTCATTTCAAAACTGGAACAGCCTATAGCTATAGACAAAAGTTGATGTCCTAGACAGATGCCGAATATTGGTTTGACCTTTTTATTGCCTAGAACCGTATTGATGATAATGGTCTCTTCGCACATCTCAGGATTGCCCGGATCATTACTGAGAAAGGGCCCATAGTACTCATCAATATTGAGTTTATGATTGCATGGAACAACGTCGACTCTTGCACCTCTATTTATCAAACATCTAATTTGATTGTATTTCAAAGCGCAGTCGACTGCACAGATCCTGGGTGAACCATTTGGGTTGTATGTGATGGGTTCCTAAAAAGAAAACCACAAATACTTGCCATTTGATTGCATGAGCTTGAATGTATGTCCCATTTACTTTTGAAGTCACAATTATTCATCTATACTTTTTATATATGTACATATATACAGGGTGTCCCTGGACTTCCTCTTTTCCTCTCGGGAATGTATAGATGGGGTCAAAATATCACCAGTACTTCATATAACTTTTTTTCCTAAAAGTCTTCGTAACCAAGTTACGGGCCCTCGAAGTTACAAAATGAAAAATGTTTTTCTTTGATAACTTTTCAAGTGAATATTCAAAATCATCCAAATTTNAAGGAGACAAATAACAAGAGACATGTTAAAAAATCATAATATAATTTGCATGCTCTATAAAATCAAACATACAGTCTAAAATAGATATATGAAGATAAAAATAATTATAAATAATAATAGAGGTGTCGATGATAGTCAGACGATTTCAGAGAGATGAAATACATGGGTTTCTTAGCAAATTAGTACTCATATAATTCAGTTAAAAAATAGTTACATATAATACTTGTAACGTTTCAACTGTCTACTAGACCATATGAGAAAACCTTAACATATATATGACAAATTTGCGAGATGTTCTGTATACGGCTTTTAAATCTGAGAGTATCATGAAAGAAGTAACCGAGTGGGTGTTTCAAGTAGGCAGCTTTCTAGAAGTTAAAAAAAGCCCGAAATAACAGACGTTGATAGGGCAAATCTAGATATTGGTAAATATAAAATTCAAATTTGAAATACAACAGGAAAAGTAACCGGACGTCAAGCACTTTGTACATAAGAAAATAGACGAAAAAACCATCAGGTCAGCCTATATCGAACATCATGTATAACCAATGTTTTTCCGTAGCATTGTTTTCAAGTTACTCTAGTCTCATTTGAGAGAGATATTACTTGAGACATACTTCTAGGTGTAACTCCTGAAATAATTGAATAAAATCAAATCTAAAATGCTTCAAAATTTACCTTCATCGTTTTCGGATACTGCCAGCGAATATACAATTTTTCCTAAAATGGTCCCCTTTTCTCTGATCTGTTTTGTTAGCTGCCTGATGTGTATTCCTTGAATGCCTGCTACATTCTTTTTCCTCATTCAAGCAGAAAGAGTTTAGTTGTTACGCCAACTACTCGGAAAGTCGCAGTGTTCGCCGACAACAAGGGCTGAAGTCCATATTCGATATGATTCGAAAAAGCTACAGAAATATTCAATTTTGATATTTTTCAGATACATGATTTTAAACTTTCAAGATTTTCATAGTGATAACTTTAGAAAGTAAATTATTTTCATATATTCTTGCATTGCGTGAATATTGAGGTAACAATTTGCAGTTTTTAAAAGTTGAAAAGATGTCATTTTTCATCTTCTAATATATGAAAAGTAATTGCTGTTTGTTAGTCTCTCTAAAACTCGAGAACGGCTGGACCAATTTTTATGTTTTTTGTCTTTTTGGATTTCTCTTCGTCGGGAATAGAATAGTAAATATTGAAAATGAAATGTCGTTGATGAAAACAATAATAATAATAAATATTGGAGACCTTGGCTTATCAAAGCGCCTGACGTTAGCTTTTCTTAGGTCGAGTGGGCTGAAGTCAGAAACTGAGGGGTTCNAATTCAGCATGATGTTTTCAAATACGTATCAACTCAGAATATATATCAATTAAAACTGTTAGTTATATCAAGTTTTCAGTCTGTAGTCTGCTAAAACATCCGGAAAAAATTCCAGCAAACATTAAACCAGTTTCAAAAGATGACCGCGAAAGTCTGATTCTCTTCAATAAATCTCAATTTTATGTTCATAAGTGTGTATGTGACTGACACATATTCTTTCAAGGGGAGGAGACTGAAGGCGGAATGGAAGGATTCATCCCATTGACCTGATTGGGAAAAACAATTTCAATTGAATACTCGTGATATAATAATCGAATGCAGAACGCTGCATTCATTTTAAGAAATTATGTTCTTGGAGAATGTGTAGAACAGTGATCTCGTGTATGTACATTTTGAACTTAATATATAATTAATATCGGTACGATTTGTAGGATTTAACCTATGATGTTCCATTTGAATTAAATATATTTTTGAGAGAGATTAGTTTCTGGAATGAAACATTTTGGCTTTCTACTTCTCCATATTTTATTACAAATAATGTGGGAAATTTCTGAGGGAAGGAAGAAAGTAATTAAATTCAAAATACACTCTTCATAAAGATGTGTAGATTATGTATAGAAGTTACTTTCAGATACAAACGTCTTCAGGAGTGTCTTTACACTAGCTATTGTATGGCGAAACACGTGTTGCGTTTTTATAAGACTGATGACAATAAAGAATGGTCAGAAAGTAAGTGGTAAGGTCAGAAACGTACATCCTAATCTGAATAACAAAAAGGAACATGGTCCCTGTAATAGGGGGATTATATTAATAATCATTAAAAAATAGAAACTTACCAAAAATATTGTATATTCAGCAGATAAATATAGATAAAATTTCATATAAAAAATGAACATGGAGTATCAAAATCACATACAGTAAAAAAAGTATCAGCTAAAATATAAAACGAACATTTTTTTCAGTTGGAACCACGAAAAAATTCGCATACGACATTAATAAATGCATCCGATTACGATTTTGGGTCGATTTCATAAAATTCGTCAGCACTTCATTAATTCAAATCCTCGATTTAACTTTGATTAGATAAAAATTTTCAAACGCAGTGTCTCATAGTTCAGCTAACATTATTGTCCAAAAGCTGTACACCACTGATGTTTCTTGTAAAATTAAATTTTGTTTTTAAACTTGTTTATTTTTGTATTTGTTTTCTAGAAAAATAAATGAAAACCAACATAAAAAAGTTACTGCGTAAAATCATTGTTTTTAAAATAAAAAATGTTATTTTGGTTAGTAATATGTAGTATTGTATAGGTTGCTATAGGTACCTGAGACTTAAAACTGGTTCCATCGTTAGAATTTGAGATATGTTACAATGATAACCACGGCGGTTACCTAAAAAATATATTGTTTTTGGTTACATTTGGAACAGCACCGTTGTAGTAACCTCAGTTCTTCAACCTCATTGGGTTTGGGCCTATTGGCACACGACAAATGAAACTTCAAATACGGGANTCTTGGATTTCACGATATATTTTCATGTCATTTGCAAAGAGCAATTTACGAGCAATGTCATTTATAAATAGTATGAATAATAACGGTGCTAGATTAGACCCTTGAGGGACACCCGAACAGCAGGAGAATTTTATACCATCACATTCAAATGGTTCCTTGAACAGTTGTTTTATAACTATTTCAGCACAGTTTTTCACTTTACTCATCTGTTCGCGCGTTAGTGGCATGATGAGGATAATTTTCGAATAGATTCTAAGTTGAAAACATTGTAAACAACAAAGATTGAGACCGTTTCACTACGTCCTTCTCACACGAAACCTACTGTACTATTGTACTTACTTACCTACTTCTCCGTCTATGGGTTTTATGGCCCCTAAGGAATGACCGGGAAGCACTAAAAAACGAGGAAACTGTCGATGCCGTCGTTCGTCCATTTTAGCAAAAAGTGTAGAAAGGTTCATAGAAGCACAAGAAAAGCGATAACTGCCGATAACCGCCGGACTTTGCAGTCACTACTCTTGTTGAATGGTGATTGAACGGTTCAAACGATTGCTTGCTTTGTTATTGTGTCGTAAATGATACCGGATAATCTCGTGTACAGTAAGTTAGGTAAGGATTTCTGAAGATCGGTTGGGGTTTGAGAAGTTGACTATATAAAAGAGAACTTTGATATTCTGAAATGGAAAGGTTTGGTACCTGACTGATAAGGTTCTTCGGCCCATTGTTTGTGTTCATTCAAATTAGTATCTACTTTACCCAATAAGGATTATATTCTCTGTATTTTCGGACCTTGAAAAGAGGTGTAGCAGAAACAAATACCGCATTGCTGATTACAAAATACTGGGTATGTATTTTTTAATAACGAATACCGCAAACCGATTTCATGATAACAAGCATTTCGCATTGTTTTTAAAACTTTGGAACTTTGTCAAGATTTTCAAGGAACTAGGTATGAAGGTGTTTTTTAAAACAAGTCATACACTACAGAGCCTTTTGGGGAGTCCAAAAGACAAAGTCGAGAATTCGGAAAAGTCTGGAATTTACGAAATTAAATGTAAGGACTGAGATGCAAAATATTATGGACAGACAAAAATATCTATTAAAGTAAGATATAAGAAACACTTGCACACTTAAAATATGGAATACGTGAAAAATCAGTATCCGCCAATCATATTTTGCAACAAAACCATTCCACAGACTTCAGTTCATCAAAATTAGACAAGTTAACAACAACAGGCAACTAGATGCCTATGAGAGTGTAGAAATAAGTAAACGTAATAATATTATGAATAACGATGACGAACCAATACCAAATACCTAGTATACTATATAGCTTCTAAAATAATATTGGATTCACTGACTATTACATGACACATTGTAAAAATAAATTTAGGACAAATAGATAGGCAATATTGTAAAATTAACGTTTATATAGCTTAAAAATGGTTATATATATATCCAGTTCAATCTTCCTCTTGAAGATGATCACTTGGTGATCGAAACACGTGTCAAGGTGTTAAAAATAACGATTTGGTGTTGGGAAAAAACTCCAGTGATATTCCTTACTACACACAAGTGATTATACTATGATTATTGGGTCCTATATTCACAAGAGGCTGAAGCTGTTTTTCTCAACATCTATTGAAAAATAATACTCGATATATACATGGTTGATGAAAGAAAAATATGATTGAAAACACAAATCAGTAGAAAAAGCTTTTTGACGATCGTGAAATCATGAAAATAATATGTCCCACAGGNCACAAATCAGTAGAAAAAGCTTTTTGACGATCGTGAAATCATGAAAATAATAAATGTCCCACAGGAAACTTAGAGCACGGGACCTGGCTTAAATTATAAATCATTATCAACACTTATACGAGGTGGAAAACGATTTTTGATGGAAAATTATGAAAAATAATGGATCGTGAATTAAAGAAAATATATTTTTCTTAGTAGTCTTAGAGTGCTTGTTCACGAGACCTGGCTCAAGTTATAACTCATTATTGATACTTATACGAGGTTGGAACAAAAATTTGTGGAAAACGATTTCTGATGGAAAATAATGAAAAATAATGGATAATGAATTGAAGAAAATAATTTTTTCCACAAGAAACTTAAGAGTGCTTGTTCAAGTTATAATTTTACGAGGTTGAAACAAACATTTGTGAAGAAACGATTTTTGATGGAAAATAATAAAGAATAATGGATCGTGAATTATCGAAATAATACTTATACGAGGTGTGAACTGAAAATTTGTGGAAAACGATTTTTGATCGAAAATAATGAAAAATAGTGGATAGTTAATTATAAAAAATATTTTTTAGCAATCTTAGAGTGCTTGTTTAGGAGGCCTGGCTCAAGTAATAATTCATTATCGATACTTATATGTGGTTGAAACGAAAATTAGTGGAAAACGATTTCTTATTGAAAATAATGAAAAATAGTGGATCGTGAATTATAGGAAATAATGTTTTCTCAGTAATCTTAAAGTGTTTGTTCACGAGACCTTCCTTTATTTATAATTCATCATCAATACTTAAACGAGGTTGAACCTAAATTTGATGGAAAATAATGAAAAATAATGGATCGTGAATTAAAGAAAATATCTTTTTCTCAGTAATCTTAGTGTGCTTGTTCACGAGACCTGGCTTTAGTTATAATTGATTATCAATAATTATACGTGGTTGAAACGAAAATTTGTGGAAAACGATTTTTGATGGAAAAAAATGAAAAATAGAGCATCTTGAATGATAGAAAATTATTTTTTCCCAGTAATATTAGAGTTCTTGTTCACGAGATCTGGATTCAATTATGATTTATTATCAATAGTTTTCAATTATCATCAATATTTTTCATCAAAAATCGTTTTCTACAAATTTTCGTTTCAACCTCGTATGAGTATTTATAATGATTTATAATCAGATGGTCATTGCTTTCACCCTTCATTTAGCTGAGGAAGGAAGCACCTAAAGAATTCACATTCTTTTAATGTATTTTTCCACAAAAAGATGGGTTTTTAGTTCAATGATGCAGAAATTGAAAGCCAGAAAACATCTCTTCCAAAAATATTCCGTTTTCAATTCCATAGATGTAATTTGGAAATTCAAAGACTTAAATGAAAG